ATCTCACCTGCCACAGAGAGTGGTGTATCCCGAAATAAGAATGGGTTAGACAGATCTCTAACTTCCCTAAAAATTCCGTCTAGTCTCGGCGTCCTCCGAAGGAGGCAGAGCCCGTCGGGAAAAAATTCCGTCTAGTCTCGGCGTCCTCCCGAGGAGGCAGAGCCCGTCGGAGAGCTCCGGGAGGATCCGTCGGAGCTGTAGTGTTTTCCCTTCAGGCATCAGGTGTCGGGTTTGCCTCAACATCTGGAGGTTCCACAGTGCCCTGAGCCGCCCACTCTGAGCAAGGGTTGGGGAGAGAGCTCAGCTCTCCCCTAAACTGGAAAAGCATCTGCTGGGGATTTAACCCCGTGGCCCTAGGAGTGTGATCTGCAACTGAAACAATAAGATCCTGGAGGGGGGGATAGAAGCTGCACGATGACAAATGTTTCATTTGCCCTAAGCACACTCTGGTTTATTTTAACCTTGGCTACATAAGAGGATGCCTGGAGGAAAAATAAAAATAGATACTTAGCTAAAAGAAGAGAGGTCCCAGTGTGGAGCATAGGGCAGTGAGTGGAGCATGAGGTTCTGTGGTGACCCACAGTAGGGTTGGGGCTTGGAGATCCACACGGTGCTGGGCATGGGAGACTGTGGGTGAGGGCAGTGCTGGCATCACACATTCCAGGGCACAGCCCTTTGTCCCCCTGATTGCTGTGTCTCCTCTGTAGGTTTGCTGGAAATTTCTCCCGTGGAAAGAGGAGTGGTGAGCATATTCGGTGTTCGAAGTGGACTCTTCGTGGCCATGAATAGCAAAGGCAAACTCTATGGATCTGTAAGTAGCCACCGAGTGTGCACCTGGGGAGGGGACAATGGTCAGCTGGGGTGAGAGGTGTGCATGGTGCTAAAAGCTGCCCAAGCCCCATTCCTGTCCCTCCTGGGTCAGGCAATACAGAGCAGCCCTTGCTGCCTTGCCCACAGAAGGGCAAGTTGTGCTGTTTACTGTGATTTTGAAGTGAAACCCACTCTTTTGTGTTATACTTCTTTGGGTCCCACATAAAAGCTGTAGTCACCCAACCATGGCTACCAGTCTTGCCTATGGCACAGAGCAACAGAGCAGTCATTTGTGTGGCCAGACTCAGTCCATACATTTCTTATATTTAGGTTCAACCTTAAGCAAGTATGACAATCACTCACTCCATCTCTCAGAGGGCATTTGAACTTGTGACAAGCCAGGCCCCCACAAGTGACCCTTCATGATGTGATGAATCAGTGACTGTCACATACCTATTGATCACTCTTTGTTAATGTGTTTGAATGAACAGTGTTCCCATGACAGTTCAGCATCCTCAGGGTTTGAACTCCTATTTACAAGAAGGAAGACCTATTAGGAGACAACACACATCTTTTTTTTTACATTGAATATTTGAAAAAGATAGAGGCATCTTATAAAATATACTTGTGGTGGACAATGACAGGGCATATCTTTGCTCATGTTAATCTGTCCTGCTTTTGAGTTCATCTATGTTTAACTTACTGTGAGCAGTGTAACTTCAAACTCATGTTGCTGTGTCTCCTTCCTTTCCCATGACTTTCCTATTTCATGTTTCCAAAGTATGCTTTGAAGAAACCTGGGCTGAGGAAGAGCTAAATTATGTCTGAGTTAAATAGGGCATTTTCACATGAAGACATGAAGTATCCAGAATTATTTTCTGGGGCAACAGTCCTCTTACAGAGGATTTTGACTGATATAAACCCAGACAGAATCAGTCACCAAAGTGCAAGAGCTCCCATTGCATCATTTCTCAGGGATGCTGCTGCTTTGGTGTCCTGGATGAAGTAAACCCCAGTGCAGTGTTCAGCTTGGCAGGCTAAGATCTCTCTTACAACCCCCTAGGCTTTTGCCCAGTAAGAGATGAGTTTGTTCCTCTCCAGAAAACACACTTGTAACACCTGTCCCTCACTGTACTTATTGCAAACTCATCACTGAAGGGTGCCTGTTGCAGATTTGTTATCCTGAGACATCAACATGAGTTATCCAAATCCTTCAATTTTAAATCTGAAGAAGCAAAAAATACTGTCCATGCTGAGTGTCTTTAAAATGCCTCTTTTTCCTCAAGCACCATGAGAAAGTGCTAGTATTCAGACATTTCTGAGGCCTCTCAGGCAATTTATTGCTGGTAGGACAATCACTGAGCAGTTAGATGAGCAGGGCATTAACACTGGGCTTGGGCCTTACACACCTCAGCTCTGCTAACATGTGCTCCTGTCCCTCCCAGAGCAGATAGAGCTATGGGTGTCCTTCCCACCTTTTAGATGTAGCCTGGCCTGGCCACAGCATCCTTAATGATCCTCTGACTCCTGAGTCCTGTTTGAAGCTTCAGAGATCACTTCAAAAGACTACTAAGGAGGGGGACTCACCTGCAGGTTTCCCCACAACACACCTTCTACACCTGGTAGCAAGAATATTTCCACACCTGATGTTTAAAATTCCTTCCCTCTCATTCTTTCCTTTTCATTTCAGACCCATTTCAATGACGAGTGTAAATTCAAAGAGATTCTCCTGCCAAACAACTACAATGCTTACGAATCCAGGATTTATCCCGGGATGTACATAGCCCTGAGCAAAAATGGAAGAACAAAGAAAGGCAATAAAGTGTCTCCCACAATGACAGTGACACATTTTCTTCCTAGAATTTGAGACATCTCCCTTCAGACCTACCTCAGCACAGGGGAAGACGCAGAACACGTTTCGGGAAAAGAAACATGGTGCACTTTTACTGGAGAGTTTTATGCAAGAGTAGGTGTAAGATATTTAAGTTAATTATTTAAATCTGTATATATTGTCACAAAATTTATTTATAGTTTCTTTTTTTTTTTTATTTTGAAAACTTTTGAAAACAAAACAAAACCTCCAACCCAAGGTCTTTCATTTCATGGTGCAACAGTAGAAGATTTCTGCTTTGTGGTTTATTTCATTCATTTTTAAGTTACCACAGGTGTGCTGCTACTTCGTGTCCAGTCAGGTGACATTCAATTCCTCTCTTACAACGTTTTGCACTGTTTGTGTGTTGGACTGTGTCTGTTGCTGTACACGTGTTTGTTTGTTTGTTTGTTGTGGTGGTTTTGTTCTCCTCGGAGTGTTTCCCAAACCCTCAGTGACTCCCAGAGAAGCTCTTGGCCTGGGGGAAGGAGGTGGTGGAGGTGCCTGGGTGGGATGCCAGCGTGGAGCCACACACAATGCCTGACCTCCTTTGTGCCGCGTTGCTATTTAATTGGAATGGTGTCGGTTTACCTCGTACAGAGAGCGCAGTGCTGCACAGCTACCCCACAAATCTGTTTTTAGATCTGCCAGTGCTGAACTTTGAACCTTCCTGCAGTCCATCTTCTCCGAGCTGCCAGGCAGTGGAGAGGCTGAGACACCTCTAGCAGCTCAGCAGGATTGGGGCTGGGTTGTTCTATTTGGATAACCAGGAGTATACCATCTCTTTTGGTCCTTAATGGAAGCTTATATTTGATACAATTGCTTGGCATAAGGCTAAAAAATAATGTGTCTGTCCCTCCTGCAACCAACACACTGTGGAACACATTACCATGAACCAGTTCTACTTTTCTCAAATTCCCTTTCAGATTTGGAGACTACATTCATTTTTTCAAAGTTTAGGGAACTCTATAACACTCAGAAGTTTTTAAAAGGCAAAAGCACTTGCTGGTTCGTAGCAAACACAAGCTCCACAGGGAGAATTTAGATTGATGACAAAGAATTGAGGTTGATTTGTACTATTTATTTTTTTGGTGCAGTATTTGGAAGGAGAAATATGCTGCTTTTTTCTGTCTCATTCCCTGACAAAGTTGATTATTTTCTACCTCACTAAATCTCAAAGCCAGTCTCCTAACAAATTCTGCATGGAAGGAAGGTACCCACTTTTCTGCTTGGGCTTGCCGTTCTGGAGGAGGCCCTGGGGAACAATCATAATCCCAAATCTCTCTTTTTTTCCATATGTAGCCAAAAGTATGCAGGATAGAGTTGGTTGCATCCTATTTGAGCCTTGTCACGTTTGAGCTATCTTTACCCAGTGGTTTACTTTTAGTAAGGATAATCATGGTGAAAATATTTGCAGACAGCTGTCAGGCTGCAGTACTATATCGTCATCAAGTAACCCTATATTTTTCTTTATATATTTTGCAAGTGTAACTCATGTCTCTAACATGATGAAGGAAAAGACAGGTTTGATTATGGGGAAATCACTAAAGGGATACATTTGTCTTTTTTCTTTCTTTCTTTCTTTTTGCTTTTCTTTCAAAGATACTTCATCTTTGGGGCATCAATATGTCAAGTGGGAACCAGGACTAACCACAATGTTTGATGACTTAGAGGATGTTTACAGATTATCTTCCAATCTAAACTAATTATTTCTGACTACACACAAATCTGAGTTCAGCTTTCTTTTTTTTTTTCCTCTTTACATTCCTACACAAAAGCCTTTGTTCCTTTGTAATGGTATAGACTTGTCTGTATCCTCTACTTACACATGACCTTGAAGACAAACTCTACTCACCAAAGCTCAGTAAGACCAGAGCAGACCAGGACCAGACCTTAAGGCAGCTGCTGTCAAAGCAAAAACAACAATTAAGAAAAAGGAAGCCAAATCAAGAGAGAGAGCCTAGGAAATGTCATGCCTAAGGATTTTTAAATATTTTTCCTTTCTTTCTGTAATTTGGGGGATTTCTGTACTTTCTATGTTTTCTATATGTGAGTAATCATTGTGTAATTATCACCACTACCTCTGACAACTGACGATTTTGTTCCAGATTTCAGATAGCAAAATCAGACCACAAAGATTCTCTCTGGGAATGGTTCTTCTTTGTCACTTTTCACTTCATTAAATCCACAACCAACGGCCTCACACAAGATACGTTCAGAGGTAGTTGTTGTAACTTTGAAATATTGTGAGAAAACCTTGATGCCAATGTTACATGGTATGAGCTTTCACCATTTACCAGAATCTGTCTGTAGTTTTATACAGGTGCTGTTCAAGACTGTGGTGTATGTGCTGTGCACACTTATATGCATAATAAAAGATAAATGTTTACAATGCATGACACCCTGGCATTGATTTTAACTCTTTATAAGGGAATACATCCTGCAATGAAAGATTCAAAAATGCTATTTCACCATCCCAAATCCCAGGGAGTCTTTGTGCCTTTGCCAGCTACTTCACAACTGACAGCCTGGATTTCTTACTCAGCTAAAGTTCCCCCTGCCAGAGCTGGAAATTGTCCAGGAAAGCCCAGCTCCATGAGCTTGGGAGCAGATATGCTCACTTGCATCTGCCACATGCTGCTGATCTTACTTGTATTATTCCCCTGCAGTTTCTTGTGCAGCATCTAAAATTAACGACCAGAGACACAAATCAGCTTTAGAGTTTATGCTGCTGGATGTTAACATTGCAAACAAAACCTGATTGCCTATTTTTGGCTTTAACAAGTGCTGCTTGCTCTCTCTGTGAAGCATGATTACACTGCTGCAAGAGACTGCAGGATTCCCTGTTTGATTTGAGATGGGTTTTTCTTGAAATTACTCATTATACTTAATTCAATTGTATAAAAATATAAAGTCCTGTGTGGCAAGATTAGGAAAAATTTCTTTACTGAAAGAGTGATCAAGCATTGGAACAGGCTCCCTAGGGAAGTGGTGGAATCACCATTCCTGGAAGCATCTAAAAAATGAGTAGATGTGGTATTTTGTGATATGGTTTAGTGGGCATGGTCGTATCTGGTCAAAGGTTGGACTTTGGGATCTTGAAGGTCTTTTCCAACCTTAATGAATCTATGATTCTTTGACACAACTTTCATTTATAAATACTTACACATCTGCACTTGTACACACATGCACTCACTATGTCTAATCCCTGTGCTTTCAATTTTACCCCTGTCCTAGCATTAGGAAAAGGTATGGAATGGGAATGACAATATTCAGGCTTGATTTTCCACACCTTGACAGCAAAGGGAGTTTGTCCAGCTACGTAGGAGCCATACAAATCAGAAATCCAGACCCCAGAGTTCTCCAACTTCCACTGAGTGAGGCTTTTTTCTGTTCCTAGAAAGGGGAAGGCAATAGATGAGCTAGGAATGTCCAGTGTCCTCACTCTGAACAAGAGCAATTTCTCTCTAAAGTTGTATAGGCTCTATAAATATGTAGCACAGGTGGAGTTTTTATAACTGCACAAGTATAGCTACAGCATATTTAATGTTTCTATGAATAGAGCCAGAATAAATAGGCATGCAGACATCATAATTTTTCATAATTAACTTTTTTGTTTACAATGTTGTAAAAAGAACAAATGTAAATTTATCACTGCCTGGACCTCCAGAATTATAACGAAAAGTGACCACCAGGAATAAAGATTTATTTCAGCCTTGAGGAGACATACAACTATAATTTTAAGATCAGAGATAAATCCTATGAGTTGGCTCTTAGGAAAGTGAAATTTCAGAGTAGCAGCTTTGCAGGTTTGTAGGGCCAACAGTACTGGTGCTGCACATGTGGTCCTACCCATAGGAAAATATAAGGTCCTGTTGCCACTGCAGATGGAGCAGCTTGATATGTCACAGAGGACTCTAGAGAAACTCTCTTCCTTTGGCATCACCCATTTTTTGCTTCACTGCAAAGCCAGTTTTCATAGAATCACAGAATGGGTCGGGTTGGAAGGGGTCTTAAAGTTCCAACCCTCTTGCCATGGACAGGGACACCGTCCACTAGATCAGGTTGCTCAATCCCACATCCAGCCTGACCTGGAACATTTCTGAGGATGAGCTTTCCTCACTTTGCCTTTGGAGATAGCAAAATAAATGTATTAAAGGGAAAGTTCATTTTAACCCTCCAGAAAAGGCCCCAGACATGCCCAGTGTTCATGCCATCTACCAAACATTTCTTTGCACAAAACAACCAAAAAGCTTTCCTGAGAATGGAAGGACTCTGTAAGCCAGGCACATTTCCACCCCATCCAGTGATGATCCAGCCTGTGGGATAAGCAGAAGAGGAGCCATACCAGCCTGGCCCTGCACTGTGCCCTTGCTTGCAGGGGAAGGGCAGAGACAAGGCTTCAAGCCCCATTCCTCTTTGCAGCCTTGCTTAAGGTCCATGCTTAAGGTTTTCTGACTCATCTGTGACATCTCCCAAGTTGTCTGTATCTAATCTGTGCTAATAAAAATCAGCATGACAAAACACTGCCTTGTATATAAATAGCCACAGGTTTCAGAGCGGTCACTGAGTTTATAGTGCCAGATTCGGTTGTTCACACTTTACCACTTGGTTTCCACCACAGCATGTTAACTGACTATGCAAGTGGCCAATTAAAGACAGTCTGTTAAGGGGTGAGGA